CCCCAAAACCCCAAAACCCCAAAACCCCAAAACCCCATCTAAAATATGTCCGGTTGAAAATAATTATTAAAATATCAATGGAATATCATTGAGCAAGAAGAGGATTCTACGGTATGAGTAGATTCATTAAAAACTTCTGAAAACTCAAACAATCATCCAGGTAATTTTCTCTTAAATTCTGTAATGGTTTCAGTATTGTTCTTCTAAAATTTCCTGATTTTTAATTATTGTAGTTTTTTTAGAAATCTTAAAATCTAGATGTTTCTTTTTTGAAATCTCAATACTTTTGCCTTCATTAATAGAAATGATAGACATTAACAACTGAATGTATTTAGACTAGACCTTGTGAAGAACAAAAGAATGTATTCTACAATGGAATTGGGATCCAAAAAGTCAACTCCAGAGAAATTAAAAGCTCAAAAATATAATATTTTAAAGTATGATAGAAATAGAAGAGATTATGTAGTTGAGCAAATGTCCCTTGATATGATATTTCCTAAAAACAGAAGTGTATATTTCATATCAAATTATCCTTCTCTTCCTCCTTCAGAAGTGTATCAAAATGAAGACCATGCTTTCACTTACGAATCTGCAGACGAAAATAAAGTTAAGGTTTCTCTTGAAGATTCTTACCTCAATATTCCTTCAAATATTAAGAAGGGAGGAAGTAACGAGTCTCTTTATAATGCTAACCTTATTTCTTTGCAGAAAGAATTTAAATTTGACAATATTGTCTCCGTGAGTCCTTTATCAATAACTAATTTGAGAAAGTATGCCAAAAGAAATGAAATTAGAGATATGCATTGGTTTTTACTTCCTCTAGAGGAAGATACTGCCAAGACCAGGCTTTTTAATGTTCCCAATAAAATTCTCAGAAAAACATGTATTGAGGTAATAAGCTCACTTCCATTCTCCAAGGATTCACTTAATCCAATCCCAACAACAGAAGCAAACATAAGTGATGATTTTGAAGCATTGATCAAATCAGCAGAGATTCTTAATCTCAAGGTAGAGCCAAACTCAATATCTCATTTCAAAATTATATTGTGGCTCCTATTTGCATTCAGCATCCTTGGATGTGCCTCTTTCGTAAACCTAAACCTGCTGATGCTGGCTCATTCAAATCTTTAGACTTTAAGTGTTGTGAGATTTCAATTAATTTATGATATTTGGGGTTTTGGGGTTTTGGGGTTTTGGGGTTTTGGGG